AATATGTGGTTTTGCATTGTCCTGCTGAAATATACAAGGCCTTCCCTGGAATAGATGTCGTCTGGAGGGGAGCATATGTTGCTCTAAAACCTTCAAATACCTTTCAGCATTCATGGTGCTTTTTGAAACATGCAAGTGTCCCACACCATATGCGCTAATGCGCTCCTATACCATCAGAGATGCTGGCTTTTGAACTGAACGCTGATAACAGGAGAGGTGGTCTTTCTCCTCTTTAGCCCGGAGGACACGACGCCCATGATTTCCAACAAGAATGTCAAATTTGGACTCGTCTGACCACAGGACACTTTGCCACTTTGCTACAGTCCATTTTAAATGAGCCTTGGCCCACGGTACATGGCGGCACTTCTGGATCATGCTCAACAATGGCTTCCTTTTTGCATGATAGAGTTTTAGGTGGCATCTGTGGATGGCACGGCGGACTGTGTTTACAGACAGTGGTTTCTTGAAGTATTCCTGGGCCTATTAGTAATTTCAATGACAGAATCATGCCGGTGAGTGATGCAGTGGCGTCTGAGGGCCCGAAGATCACGGGCATCCAGTAAAGGTCTTCAGCCTTGTCCCTTACGCTCAGACATTTTTCCAGTTTCTCTGAATCTTTTCATGATGTTATGCACTGTCGATGATGAGACCTTCAAAGCCTTTACAATTTGACGTTGAGGAACATTGTTTTTAAAGTATTTTTTTACGCAATTTTTTTACGCAAGCCTTCACAGGTTGGAGAGCATCTGGCCATCTTTACTTCTGAGAGACTCAGCCTCTCTAAGACATCCCTTTTATAGCCAATCATGTTACACACCTGATGCCAGTTAACTTAATTACTTGCTCAATGTTCTTTCAGCTGATTATCTTTTATATTAATTGCTTTTTCAGCCCTTTTTCGCCTGTGTCCCAACTTTTTTGAGACCTGTTGCAGCCAGAAAATTTGAAATAAGCACATTTTGTGGATTAAAATGTACAATGTCTCAGTTTCAATATTTGAAATGTTATCTATGTTCTATTGTAAATAACATATTGGCTCATGTGATCTGAAAGTCATTGCATTTTGGTTTTATTCACAATGAACACTTCGTCTCCAACTATTTCAGAATTGGGGTTGTATACCTATAGTATAGCTATTGTAATTCCGCAAAAATACCATAGTTATTATGGAAAACTATAGTCTATTTTTGCTGTAGTATTTCGTGGTAATTTTTCATAAGGGCGGTTGCTATGGCACTGATGTTAAAAGGCTGTGTCACCAACTTGCCGTGCAGTTTGGTCATGAAAGCTTACTTCTGGAAAGATCCCGGGCAACTATCACAATCCACGATTGGAGGGGTACGCAGAGTATAAGATTGGAGGGGTAGAAGTGTAAGAGAGAAGGCATAAACACTTATGGATGGGCAAACAAGTGTTCACCACTTGGCAAAACCTAAAAGACCTGCCTTAAACTGCTTTCACACGTTTCACGTGTATTCGCGTCTTTGCTTTGACTTTGAATGTAATCTGTCATGCAAAAAATTCGTTTTGCGTCCAGTGTGAAAGCGGCTTTATGCCACTGATTCGGAGATTACAAGCCATTTGCGTTTATGGCTCTTTTCCCAAGCCTTTCGAGTCTTGAAGGGGTCTTCGGGAAAAAGCACTGGTCACCCGATGACAAGCCTTCTCACATTTGGCTTTGCCGATGCCATATTTTGAAGTTTGAATTTGATAACTGGGGAAAATTTTTTATGGAACGTATTCAAAAGTAGCTGAGCTTTATTACTGTGAGTGAAGTTGGCCTGGATAGCAAGGAAAATGTCTTGAATTTGTTTGGATTACTTTGCATCTTTGTCCATTTGCAGATAGTGATAGTTTCCTGTGGCCCACGCAAATATAAGCTTTCGTGACTGAACTGCGCATGTCCAGCTGGCGACACAGCCCCTTTAATGATACTTAAATTGCCAGTTACAGGTTTCTTTCAAATATACTACAATATACCTAATCTATGGTTTCGACTAACAATGCTGTGGCATTTCACATTGCGGGGGAAAGCATGTCACTTGAATACTTTCAAACAAACTAAATGATTGACTTCCTGTTATATTTGTGATAGCTCTCACTCGACTATGCGAGACTGTGTGGTCCTACGGTATGTCTATCACAAAGATGAAATGAAACTAATGCTCGCATGCAATCAATAAGTATTTTGTTACTTTATAAACAGGGCTAAAATTTCTACAAGGTTAATGCAACATGGATGGATGCAAATATTGGCAAATTAAAGTTAAATTAAAACTTCTGCCTTGTATATAACTAAATTGTTTTGTTTAGGATCTACAAGCACTAACTGTGCAACTTGTATCATGAATGCACTACACTTGAACACATATACAACAGTATAACAATACCTGGCATGTTGAATGCATGTCAAAATGTGCCTCATCATGTGCGTCATGATATACTGTGTGAATTATCCACTATTTTTGAGCAATACTGCAACCTCCCAGGAACAATGTTACAACATGGGTTTGAGGTTCTTTTTAAAGGGAGAAAGAAAAAAAATATGTGCAATGCATTTCAGTTTGAAATAGAGGGACGAGAGAGTTGAGCATCAGAGGTAGGGAAAGGAGAGAGGGCTGCAAGTAAGGGACCGTAAAAACGCAGAGCGAACGCATTTTAATAAATGCGTCTCTATAGTAACCAATGGGCACTTCACTCGGGTGGGAGAGGGAATGGAGATGGAGAGCAAAACAGAAAAGCGTTTTACAATCACCGCTTGAGTCCAGAGCTGTAATTATGGAGCCAGGGGAGGGAGAACGGAGGAGAGAAAGGTGTAGAAAAGGCGCGAAGGAAAAGGCTCCAGGCAACTCAGCGGGAACTGGGGCAGTGGGCTCTGCATGCGCCCATAGAGTCTGAATAAAGGCTTTTTATGTATAGTTGCAGTGCAAAAAAAAAACCACTGTGAGCTCAATAGGATTTAGTCATACTGTATATAAAAAGGCAAAAATAGCAAAGGGGATTATTAATCATTTGTATGCACAAATGAGACAAGGCCTTTTATTCAGTCTTTATCTAGTAGTACTTCATCCCCTGACATTGGTGGGTTAATTTAAACAATTAGGCACCTTTCTAATTTCTGATACATTGTATATGTTTGAGTGTGTGTGTATGTGTGTGCGTGTGTGTGTGAATTTCAACCAGATACATAATTATAGCTGGTAACGGCATGCATTTATTGTGCAAGCAGATGGACAAAGGAAACTGCCACTAACTGATTAGAGACATGTGGCAATGAAAGGTGTTGTGTGATTTTTCAATTATTTATGTTCATCAATTTTTGTGTGTTAGTTTTCTGTTTAACGGCATCTCTTCTGGACTATTAAGTGTGAATTATGGAGTTCCTCAAGGCTCTGTTCACGGCCCATTTATTTTTTTAATTATCAGCACTCGCCCTTGTGGATATCATCATAAACGTGTCACTGCCAGTTATTCATAACCTGATGAATGGCAGCATTTATTTTCAGTTAAAGCAGGCAAGACAACGCCCACCTTTGTCATATGCAGTAATGATGTGGATGACTTGCAATATCCCATAAAACCATGAAAATTACTGGTCATTATCTGATGAAATGGTGTAATAAATTGGCTTAGGTAAATTAATTTTGCTCTATTTATGTTCAATGCTAGGATTTCAGAGTAATCGTGTGATAATTGAACTAAATAATTTAAAACTGAGTTCCTATATCATCTTTGTTCGTATTCTGCCATATTACAATGTTTAAGATCTCTCAGAGATAGAAAACAAGGCTTATGTATATTGTTTTCTCCTTAATGAGACAGTGTAGATGTATGATAATTCAAATCAAATGCATTTCTTCAATCAATGTTATATGAAATTGCTCTTCACAACATAAAACCAGAACATATAACATATGTTCTTGTAGCTTCCACTGATTCACCATGGAAAAAGCTCACAAAGGAAATGTATTACTTTTATTTCGAGCATTAAAATGGTGATTGATCATATTTCACACGTCGCCCAATCAGCTGCAATCAGAGACTGCTTGTCAGACTCGCTCCCGCAAAAGTTTCGGCAATCAAAAAATGAAACCCTCCCTATTTATGTCGCCCCTGTTGTTTTGAGACTAGCAGAAAAGTGCCGCTGTAATCATTCACTGCGCCCCTAGAGCAGAACCGTCATTCTTCCGAAATCGGGACCCAGAGTGTGATTTTTATGGGCGCCTGATTCATTTTGCTGTTCCGAAAAATAATAACTCTGTGACAGAGGCTTTTATGGGCAGCTGAGTCACCCCAGTCATTATTGAAAACTATTGCTGAGCTGAATTTTTACAAGACCCCAGTCACCCTGAACAAGTTTCAGTGCCTGGCAACGACTTTCAAATGACAGAACAAGGCAGCAGATACACTATTATACAATATTTGAAATACTCCAATGCATTTGAAATATGTACAGCAGAGTCTAGAATCATTTGGACAGTGACACAATATTTTGCTTGTTAGTCTATAGACCAGCAGGTCATGTGGATTGTCATCCCTAGCGCCATCCGAGGGGCAGGCAGCCCTCAGTGTTTCACAGGGCTTTATCTCAACACTATTGCTGCTATCTCACCAATATTGGATACATGTATACTTTAGGTATGGGGAAGATGTCTGCTTGGTTGTCGGAGCTGACCTTTGACCTTTGACACAGTGACCGTGACCTTTAGATTTGTTTCTGCATGTTATCTCTGGAACTATTAACACTGGAGCCTTGGTATTCAGCTCAAATGAAAGCATTTACTCCAGAGTTGTGCATTTTGAGGGTTTTTCAGAATTATGACCTTTAACCTTGGCACAGTGACCTTAAAACTAAAATTGTAGTATATTAGATGTACTTTTGTAGATGCTTTTAATGAAGATTCATGTTCATTGGAGATCCTAGAACTAAGTTTAACAATCCTTATGCCATATTTGGACTTAAACATTGTCCTTGACTTGGAAATGAATATATGAAGGGTGGCTTGATGGTGTAGTGGTTAGCACTGCTGCCTCACAACAAGGAGGTTATGGGTTTGAATCCAATCTGGAGCCTTTCTGTTTTCATGTTCTCCCTGTGTTCGCGTAGGTTTCCTCCGGGTACTCTGGCTTCCCCCACCCACAAAAACATGCATCATAGGAACGCTCCTGCCAGTACCCCTGACCAAGGTATTGGCTTAGAACTGGAGTTGGTCCCCGGGTGCTGCTCTGTGGCTGCCCACTGCTCCTAACAATAGGATGGGTCAAATGCAGAGGACAAATTACCCCAGGGGGTTCAATAAAGTGTATCTTATCTTATCTTTCTGATGTATACCTCAGAAACAAACACAACAGCCTAGATGTCTGGCTCAGATATTATAACACATCTGCTTTGATACTGGGCTCAAAGGAAACAATCTACATCATAGGAATGCCTTTTTAGGTTTGGTAAGAATATTTACCTTGAACTTGCCCACAGTGTCTTTGACCTTGACATTCACATCTCAGAAACAGGTAACACTACAGCCTTTATGTTAGGGTTAAAAGAAAGTATTTACTCCATTGGTGCGCCTTTTGAGGGCTAGTAAAAATTATAACCTTTGACCTTGGCACAGTGACCTTGAAACAAATGCATTTTCCCTTGTAAATTAAACTGCAGCTACTGCAAGTCTCTCCACTCATACGTTCAGAGTTTTAAATGTCTCTGGACTACTGCTGTCTGCCGACAGCGATTTTTGGCTTTGCGCTCTGACCCGATGAATTGTAAAGCAATGAACATGCTGGTGAATATGCAGTTACATTACACACTGCCAGCTGTAATTTATGCAGCTATTTTACATCATTGTCATGTCTTTACCTCATAGGAATTTCATACACTGTCAATGACAAAATACCTAAGCATTGTACTGCATTAGATCACGTGCATTTCATGTAAAAGGTTCCTGCATGTGTTTTTGCTGCCTGTGAATCATTCTGTGCTTCCCAGCATTTGATTGTCATTCATTACGGATTTTGTACCTCAGGACAAGGAACATGTTAGCACGCTTTGCTGACTCCGGATGATCGGCAAAGACTGTCAATAGCTTAATGAGAGCTGATGAGCAAATAGGGTCCATTACAGGCTCTCCCTGCAAAGGGCTTTTAAAAGTGCATATCAGTCAGATCCAAAGCCTCCTTTCACTTCCTCATCTACATACCTGGTGGCTCTCAGATTCTGCCCTCCCTCCCCTCCCCTCTAAAAAAGGCTGATGGAAGTCAACACTTGAGTGTTATGAAAAAACCTAGTAAGTAACAAAAAGCCGATTCTGAGAAAAAGACAGAAAACTGTATCCCTCTGGGGTTAAGCTCTTGTCCGACAATGAAACTGACATGGTAGTTATTTGTTCATTACATAATAAGAGATATTTATGGAGGAATTTTTTTTTCTCTTTTATTAGTATCCCTGGCAATATGACTTAAGAAATTTTTCCATCTGAAAATATAAACTGTCAAATCTCAAAATGATGGACAGAAACCTAATGATAATGCAGCTGCAGTGGCATTTGACAGTTTTTCAGTGTTAACCCCACCATCTGCTTCCCTCTTCAAGCCATTTTTCAGTCATTATTAGCACGTGAATTGCGTGAATTACGAATTTCTTTCTTTCTTTCTTTGTTAGCAACATTACGGCAAAAAGATGGGCCAATCATCATGAAACTTTTAGAATAGGTGGGCATTCATCCAGAATAAATTATCCAGACCCCCATAAATTTTGGAGGTCATCAGGTCAAGGTCAAGGTCAAGGTCACTGGAAAGGTGAAAATTTTTTTTCTGCAATTACTTTGGTAAAAAACCCCATATCAACTTCAAACTAAATCCAGAATGCGCACCTTACAGTTCTACTTCCACTCATGTGCTACATGACAGGTTATCTCTCGTGGTTTTCTTAGCAGTTGCGGGTTAATTGTCGTGGGGTCATGGTCATTACTTAAATTTGCTTGTTTTCCATTGTAATTCAAAAATGGTTGGAGATAGAGAGGTGTTTATTATCATTATACAGGAAGTCACATATGGGCTTTCATTTGGCGCTATAACCTTTGACCTTGAGTGACCTTGGAAGGTCAAACTGAAGGTCAGATATTTTCAGAAGGTTATAATTTGAAGACAGTTGCAGATAGAGATGTATCTGCTATCATCAACAATAGGAAGTCACATATGGGCTTTCATTTGGTACCATGACCTCTGCCCTTGAGTGACCGTTAAAAGCGCAGACTGAAGGCTGTGGATTTTTTTTTTTTTTTTTTGGCTATCAAATCAGAAGCTAAAGCACTAAAATAAGTTCTACCAGGCGAGTTTTGTTTTGCTTGGCAGCACTTATTTTAACAACTTTTACGTTGTCCATAGAACTTAACATTGTAATTTACTCAACAAAATACAGGATTTTAAGTTGAGTTGACTTTAGTTTTGATAACTTCACCCGCTTTAATGTGTTGAAATCACAATTAGCAGAGCATTTTTTTACAATGCAGTATACTCTCAGAAATAGGGGTACAATAGGAGACCACTTCTGGCCCACCACGTACAATCAACAGCAATGTATCCCAAGGGCTAAATATTGGACCTCAAGGTAACTATGTGTACCCATTCAGGGGCTTTAAAGGCACAAATGTAACTTGTGATAGTAAATGAGTCCTGGGTCGAGCCTATGCATTTCCAGTAAATGCCAAATACACTGTATGCCCGAGGGCATAAATTTTCAAAAAATAGTTTTGTCCTTTTTCAGCCACCTTAAAATGTTAAAATTCCACCCAGTATGCTCTCCTGGTAAGAACACATTGATAAAGGGCAGGAAATGGGCTGTTTGTAAACAGTAGTTCACTTCATGATGGAAAAATTACCTTAACTCTTTTCCTCATAGACACCCCCTTCCCTTTCCCCATAATGACTACAAATGACAACAAATGGAGAGGCTAGAGAAAAGGTCCATTGATATTCATATGCGCATCATATGTAGTCATTATGGGGAAAAGAGTAAAACAAAGTTGTTAATTAAGTAATTCATCCACATTTTTGATGTGGAACCCCCATCAGTTATATACCAAAATAAAGTGCAAAATCCCCGCTTTCCATACATAGTATTTTCCTAATATTATACGTTACAAGCAACCAATCACAGCTGTTGAAAGTTGTAGACAAATTAAGTTGAGGACTTCCCCACTTCAAAATTGAATGTCTTGGTGATGGATTAAGATAGAGCAGTGATCTAAGCAGCATTGCAAAGCTTACAGTGTCATCTGTATGATGGGGTGGGGAACAATTTTGAATTTTTGGTCATTAAGACTCATTTTGCTATCACTGTTCACATATACATTCTCAAGGGTACAAAAGGTGTACCTTTGAGGGTACTGCCCCAGTGACAAGCTATTGTTCACCCAATTGTACAATGATGCCCTTTATTTTAGGCAGACATATTGTGAAATTTGTCTGGCAGGTGAACGTTCCCCTGGTACCTATCGCCCTCTAAAAGGAACCGCCCAGAGTCTTCTCCAACTCTGACCATCCATTCTATGACCCTCCTTCCCCCACATCGCCCACATTCCATGACTGCGTCATCACACTGCCGATGTAAACATAGCAGAGCTCATCTCGTTTGTCATTTTTGCAAAGGGTCAGAAAATTATTCTTTCCTCATCTTCCTATTTTTTTCTTTTAAAATTCTCTCTGGAAATATTAAACTGCAGGGAGAAAAAATGCCCCGCAGGCAATTTGATTGTCAAGAGCACTGTATGAAATAATATCCTCTGAGTAGATTTTATCAGAACATGTTTTTCTATTACCCATTCCGGTTCCAACGCCGACTGTTCTGCTGATCCACACCTGCCAATCACATGTCGTGTCCCGTGTGTTGTTTAACACACTGCATTCCCTGCAGGCGCATGCCTAACGTGCTGCCTATGAATACTCCTAGGGGTGATTTCCAGACTGTAGACGTGTTATTCATCGCCTCTTTATTAGAGCCATTATTATCATTGCAAATTGCAATTTACTGAAATTGTTCTGATAACCCGCCGTTGTTGCAGTATGCATAATTCATCATTGTCACAACTATCATGATCATAGTGCATGATGTTCTACGAGGGACTACATGTTATTTCAATGTTATTATTATTATTATTATTATTATTATTATTATTTATAAAGCAGGAGAGGCTCTCAAAATATTAAACTGAGGACATAGAATTTTGGGATCCCCACTGGGATCCCCACTCCATCCCACGCCCACACACTTTAGAACTTGCCTTCTACCATCTCTGAAATGCTTTATTTTTTTATTTTGCCCTGCTTTTAGTTTTTGTGTGGGTTTTCTCTGAGTTCTCAATTTTCCTCCCACAGTGCAGAGTCATGCATGCGATTTTAACTGGAGACTCTAAATTGCCTATAGGCATGAGAGTGCAAGAGAATGGTGTGTGTCTCCTTCGGTGGATTTGGCGAACTGTCCAGGGTGTGTTCCTGCCTGTTGTGCATTGTACACTGGGATAGGCTCCAGGTCCCCCCGACTCCACAAGCCAGATCTAGGAATAAGCAGTTTAGATAATCGATGGGTGGATATCTGCCTGAAGGAAACCAAGATGTCACCAAGATCCAGCTTCTTCTTTTCTTCATGTTATCTTATGAACACTGCCAAAATGCATTGAAACATGCAGTAGAAAAGTCTCTTAGCGGTGATTTTTATTTTTTTTTTACTTTTTCGAAGTCCTGTGGAACACCAGCAGTAGCTCCCTATTAAGTGAGCATCCAATGAAATACAGAATTTATATGAAGGACTCGCAGTTTTGCACATTCATGTAATTTTTCCCTGCCGTTAAAATGTTTTACTCTGGCCACAGCTCTGCTTTTTTCATGGCATACGGTTTTACATCGCAATAGTGCTGAAGGTGAAGGAAGAGGTGAAAGTCTGGCCCACTGTTTTGGAAGTCGGCCATTTTGTGTCCTTCATTTGCGCTGTACCACATAGCCACCACCTGTGATGAAAATAACTGTTTCGCAGGATGATAGCAGCTCGGTGCGTGCGCCGTTCATTATACGGCGAGGAGAGGG